GAATAAACTTGGTTACTTAATATATTGGCCTGTAAAGGAAGTAATACAGATTTTAAACTTTTATTAGCTTTTTAAAAATTAAAATTACAAAAATTCTATGAAATTCATGCAACTGAATTACAGTTAAATAATCCTAAAATACTATGATGGAGAGCACAGTAAATAAGTAAAAGAATGGCTAGGACAGAGGTGTGGCACGAACCAGCAAAAGTCAGGTTATCAGAGTTTACACTCTCAAAATGTCCTTAACTCATACTGTTTTTTTTCCCCCTCAGGACACTGAAAAAACTCATACTGCTTTTTTTCAGTGAGTTAACTGAATTTCATTGAAACCTTAATATTGTTTTTATATAATAATTATGGCTAAAAATCTGTGATTTTTATGAGACCTCTGTGACTTCTTGAAAATTCCAATAATTCAGCCTGGGGTAGTGGGAGCTCAGGCTTTGGATTCAGCCCTGGGCGGTGGGGGCTCAGGCTTAGACTTCAGTAAATCTGAGGTTTATAATAATTTATTTACTTATTTTAGTCTGTGAATTTAGGGCACATAGAGGGAGGAGAGAGAAGCTTGGAGATTCTGCTGCATACAAGAGACTACAACACTATTCCCAGAACCACTCCTGATGCAGTGAATCTCTATCATGATGATTAATGGTATTCTTTCCTGCCAGAGCAATGGGGGAGGACTCTTCTCTTCATATAATTTTATTTTGGTGGCAGCAAAAATGGAAAAGAGAATCTGACCCTTCCTTCTTGAGTTAGCTCCACTGCATTTGATTGGTAGCACTTTGCTGCAGGAAAGCTTAGTGTAATATTGCAGCTTTGCAGCTAGAGAGTAGCCTTTGTCATCATAACAAGCACTTGTGCTGAGGAAGCAAACGGTTTCCTTTTATATCTGATCTGTTAAACTATATATAACTAGATGGAAACAACAAGAATATAAGTTTCACATACAAACACATGAAGTCACATATATCCCATATGTGTATCAAGTGTGTGCATGTACACAGACTGCACAAGCAATACATGTAATTTTTCTTATGTATAGAAAAGGAAAAGGAATACATAGAAAAGAAGATGTCTAAAGGGTGTGCATATAAACAAAGTGTTATACACATTCCAGGAATATCATTTCTTATTTTGACCTATGCTGTCTGACTTGTTTGTATAAGAGGAAATGAATTTCAAATCACACTTTAGCACTATAAAACACTGGAATGTCCCACAATATAGGGATTAATGCAATTCTTTAAAAGAGAACAATATCAATAGTGTGTAACATTCTTCAGAAATATTCCCTCTCCCATGAATGAGACACATTACATAAAATCATAATGGCTGAAACACAAAGTAATAAAACACTTTATGCTAACTTGTTATAAATAATATAAATCAGTTGCCAGGGTGAAATTCTATTTTAGTCTTCACTAATTAGGGTGACCTACTCACTGACTCGTTGCTGCCACATGTGAGTGATGAGATTAGAATAACACATAAAAGTAATATGTTTATTTCATCCCAGGGTTGTTCATTATGATGGCTCCATAGTTAAGATCGAGCTAGGATTTTGCTTTTGACAGGATCATAAAATCTCTCTGGAGCTGAAGCTGTCAATATCTGTATATAAATCTTGGTTAGGCTTTAACTATTTACCGTAACACAAGCAATAAAGAATAATTGTGCATTTGTGTACGCACGTGCATGTATATAATTATAGAGGCACCAATCACAAATCCATGGTTATGGTTGAGTTTTATTTTGGCTCTCTGGATTGTATGAAAAATACAGTATATCTTTCTCAACTCACAGCATTTATTCTTTGAGTGCAGAATGGCTTTTTTGAAAATGTACAAGTAAATTTATTAATGTTTGAGTTAAAATTCATTATAAACTAGGACTTAAGAAAAGTATTGTTAGTCTATTCTTTATCCTGAATGATGTTTAAGGTGGAATAACATAAGCTCATCAAACTTTCCACATAGTCAAAATTAATTTAAATCTTGTGCATAGCAGAATTAGAATACATACATTCTTCAAATGCAGCCTAAGTTATTAGTAATTGTATCTAAATGTTAGGACTTTCTGGGAGGGAGGGGGAGGAGCGGGGAAGCGCCGCAACTCCGCTCCTCCCCCTCCCTCCCAGAAAGTCCTAAGCGCTGCCAAACAGCTGTTTGGCAGGAGGGGGAGGAACGGGGATGCGGCATGCCCGGAAAGGAGGTGGAGTGGGGGTGGGAAGAGGCGGGCCTGGAGTGGAGCAGGGACAGGAAGAGGTGGGCCTGGAGCATCCTCTGGCAAAGTCAGCGCCTGTTCTGGGGGGAAGCTGCTGCTGCTGCTGCGCAAAGTGCTTCCTAGTGTCCTTGCCTGCAGTGGGCTGTACCTATGTGGGGTAAGCCAGGGGCACCTCCCAACCACAGTACAGTACTGTACAGTATATAATGCCTTTTGTCTGCCCCCCAAAAATTTCATTGGAACCTAATCCGCTGCATTTACATTAAATCTTATGGGAAAATTGGATTCGTTTAACACCGTTTCACTTAAAGTTATAGTTTTTCAGGAAACACAAATACAACGTTAAGTGAGGAGTTACTGTACTTACATTGGCTGTTGGCTAAAATTCTTGTCAATTTCACTGCTCCAGCAGTTTCCTGCTGTGAACCTTACACCTTGGCTGTGAACCTTGGCTCACAGCTCAGGCTGTCACCCTGGGGTTGGTGGGGGGCTCCAGCTAGAACCCAGCTGCCCCCTGGGCTCCCAGCCACTCGCTCCTAGTGGGCTGCTGCCTGGGCTTCCCTCTGTCCACTGGGAGCCCTGCTTCCTCCCAGCTCCCCACTCCCAGCTGGGCTGCTGCCTTTCACCCCATGGCAGATCGGGGGCTTCAGCTGTGAGCTCTGCATGGCTGTCAGTGCCCCACAATGCCCCATTTCAGTTGGTGCAAGCGCTCGTGGTGGGAACGTGCTCCACTGGTAGAAGAAGGGTAGTGTGGACACCAGCTGCCGATTGAATTACTGCAGTGGTTGTAGGTTGACCTTAATTAAGTTGACCTAATTTTGTAGTATAGACAAAGCCTAAAATATCAGTGCTTGAAAAGCTCCTCAAAGCATTGCTGTCTCAGCTCAACTGCACACAAAGGCAGCACTGTTGTGGGAAGTGGGGCAGAAACAGAGGGTCCTTGAAGTGCAAAGACATTCGGATTAAGGGTATCGGTTCTTTTATTGTTTTTAATGTTTTCTCTGTAATACTTTTACTATAAAAAATGTGCTGGCTTAGAAGAGGTGGTGTGGCGACTTAAAACTTCGGACAATATGCTGGTCGTAGCCTTCAGAGAGAAAGAAAAGTGTAGGCATGGGCCTGTCTGGCTTGCTGGGCATATCACACTGTAAATCCGGGAAGCTATGCAGCCTTAAAGCCTCTGGTCAGGAATGAGTGAGATGTGAGTCTCTGCCTGAGAAAAGTGACAGGTGGGAGATGGAAATCTTTAAGTGAGTGCTCTCGAGAAACCATGGAAGGTGAATACAGTTGCAGTTACCCTGAAACTGTGACAAGCTAAGCCCCACGCAGGGGCTCAGGGCTATGTCAGGAAGAGGCGCACCCCCCACCCCCGCTGACCCCAGAGCAGACCTGCCTCAGCTGGGGGAGAGGAGCCGCTCCCTCGGCCCAGCCCCAGAGTGTACCTGCTTTGGCCTGGGGGGAGAAGCTGCTCCCTCGGCCCAGCCCCAGCATGGACCTGCCTCAGCCAGGGGAGGAGCCCCTCCCGTGGCCCAGTCCCAGTGTGGAACTGCCTCGGCCAGGTGAGGAGTCCCTCCCTTGGCCCAGCCCAGCCCCGCCAGAGCTGCCGCAGCCGGGGAGAGCCGCCTCTCCCCCCAGCCCCAAGCTGCTGCGGCAAGAAAGGGCTGGAGGGAGTCCTCTCTCCCCACTGCAGCCCCGGGGCAGCCTGCACCCCAAATCCCTCATCCCTGGCCTCACCCTAGAACCCACCTCCCCTGCACCCAACCCTCTGCCCTAGCTCTGAGCTCTCTCCCACAGCTCCAAACCCCTCATCCCTGGCCCCACCCCAAAGCCCTCACCCCCTGTACCCCAACCCTTTGCCCCAGGCCTGAGCCCCCTCCCACTCCGAACCCCTCATCCCCAGACCCACCTCAGAGCCCGCACCCCCAGCCTGAGCCCTCATCCCCACACATCTCAACCCTCTGCCCCAGTCCTGAGCCCCCTCCCACACTCCGAACCCCTCGGCCCTGTCCCCACCTGTCACACATCACCTCCATGTTGGTGCACATAACAAAATTAATTCTACACATGGATGTAAAAAATTAGAGGAAACACTGGTGACAAGTATCTGTGATGATCTTTTATTAAACAAAATTTTGGATAGTCTGTTGTGACCCCAGTTTTCCAGCTCATGTATGAATATGCTGCAGATATTGTTAGTCTCGCTTAGAACAATATTGAGAATTGACTTGATAATTCAGATGAGAGAATTGAGGCCATTCTGTTTTTGGCAGCTAGCTCTAATTTAAAGTTAAAGCTGAAATTTAAAGCTCCAGATATGGGACGAGCTATTGAATGAATGTGTCAAGAACTGTTGATCTAGTAACCACTAGCATGGATACATTCACAAATGCAAAGCCTTGGATCTTAAAGGGAATTATTTTGAAGGAGTCCTGCATACTGTATAATATGAGCTTTGCCATGATTTTGTATTTACATGCTTGCATCACAATGACCTTAATTATAATTATTCATACTTTTTCAGAATAAGTGAGTTCTATGGGGTGATTACAACTAGAATACTGTGTATACACTGTAGTAGGTACTTGTTATGCCTTCACTATACAGATCCAAACAGTGGCATACAAAATATGCAGACATTTCTATGGGAATCCTAAATAAGTTATTTCGTACTGTACAATTTACTATAATAAAAAATACAAAACTCGGTGACTGATTTGACTTGTTTTAAACATACAGGAAAAGTAAAGATTCTTCTTTTTTCATGTCTGCAGGCTGTGCATCTGGCCCAGGCAAGTTTCCAGATTGAGGCCTTTGGCTCCAAATTCATCCTTGACCTCACATTGAATAAGTAAGTGCACGATTGTGGGTTTCTTTGTTTCCTGCTCTTTGTGGCTGTCTCTTTGGAAATAAATACAGCGATTTCTGAAGGAGAGAGCAGTAGGGTAGGGCAGGTGGAATTCTGTGAGCTTTGGGAAACTCCCACATCACCAAAATGCATTAATAGACTAAAACATTTATGAAAGTTGGAAAGCTTGCCGAAGCTAGGTATTATAAATATAGCTTTCTTTACGAAAGGATATGTTCCTATTTATCAGCGCTGGAATATATTTGCATGTAAAGAGGAAAAATAGAAATATAAATTTAGTTTGGGTTCTCAGGAACATAGGCACCGACTTCCTGTGTTCCTGGGAGGTGCTCGACTCCTGCTCTGCCCAGAACCCCGCCCCACTCCACCCCTTCCACGAAGTCCCCACTCTGCCTCTTCCTGCCACAGCTCTGTCCCAGGCCCTTTTGCCACTCCACCCCTTCCCCCTACCCTTGCAGCCCTCATTCTGCCCCAGGCCTTGCCACCACTCCACCCCTTCCCCTAAGCCCCCACCGTTGCCCTGCCTTTTCTTACCCCCCTCTGCCCCTCCCCCGCCTCTTCTCGCCCCTGCCCTGCCTCTTCCTGCTCCCTTTCCCCCTCTTCCTGCCCCTGCTCCTTGCCCTCCCCCACAGCACCTACTGCATGCTGCTGAACAGCTGATCTGTGGGAGGCACTGGGAGGGAGGAGGAGGAGGAGCTGAGCAGTGTGTCCGCTGGTGGGCAGGAGGTGTTGATCCACATGGCTGCTGGTGGATGCTGAGCACCCACTATTTTTTTTTCCATGGGTGCTCCAGGGCTGTAACACCCACAGAATTGGCACCTATGCTCAGGAACCAAAACATATTTGCTGAGGACCCCAAAACCTCTTGGATATGAATTATGAAAAGTATCTCAGTACATATACATTACAGTTGTTATCCTTTTCATTCTTAAGTGCTTTATATACAGTACAAGATTCAGTCCACCACTCAAAAGCAGTCATCTGTTGGGCAGAAGGTGGCAATCAGAAAGAAAACTGGCAAGCCATGTGCTGCATAACAGCAGTGGAAGAAATTTCCTATATCTTTGGTTGCCACTTTGATCTTCCTGTCCTAGATGCATGTTGTCAGGCTACATTTTCTTTAGGAATTACCCTTAAAATTGCAGTTCTTGATTATTACACAGGTGCCTGATTCATATCACTGTACTTTACTCTATTCATCTACAACACTAGCTAAACCTTAGATTTGGCTTTAGATTGTGAACAGGGACATTTCCTTCTGGTCTGTCTGGAATCCTGGATAGGCCAGATATAAATAGCAGTAACTGATAAACAGTTGCAGTTTTCAATTAAGGAATGTATATTCTGAGCCTTAACCAGGTTAATAGTGTTCCATATATCTTCATAAAGGGCCAACTTGAGACAAATGTACTTAAAGTAAGGGATGATACAGGACTTAAAATATAAGTAGCACTAACTAATATTAAATTATGTGGTTTACCAGGATTTTTGTAAGTTACTGAATTCAGTTGTTTAAGACTATTCTTCATTTAGATTAAGGTGCTTTTCATCTTGGTACATAAGTGGCCGAAAAATTATGACACATATGGAAAGAACCAGATTTATTTCCTGCACCGATACACTGTGTGCAGGAGAGAAATGATCAGGAGGAAGTTGTAATTGGCTCCGTGATTCTCAAGCTGCTTTGTCCCTATCTGTGCAATAGGGCTGCCCTAAGATCCCTAAGGGTATGTCTACACTGCACCTGGGAGTGTGCCGACCAGCCTAGTTAGACAGATGCATACTAGCTCTGCTGTAGCTTGTGCCATTAACAAATAACAGTGTGAATGTTGTGGTTTGGGCTAGCTGCCTGAGTACAAGGCTGCCAACCCCCAGGGTCCCCAGTTGGTGGCTAGACCATGCTGTCACCTATGCCGCAATGTTCTACACTGATATTTTTAGTGTGCTAGAAGGAGCAGAGCTAGTGTATGTCTTTTTAGCCTGGCTGGGAGGCATATTCCCATCTACAGTGTAGATGTACCGTAAGGGATCAGACACCAGCGGAGTATTGCTATGGGGGAGAAAGTGAAGCAGAGCTCCCCACTATGTTCTCTACTCAGCCCTGTTACTTTCCTTAATATTTATACTGAGGTTGGGGGGAAAGTTGGCTCTACTCCAACTGTGAATTCCCCTTTTCTGAGGGAATTCTCAGTTGGCCAGCTGTGGCTGGATTTTATCTGTTTTGCAAGGCTCAGGTGTTCCAAACGGGACGGAACTGGAATGAAATTCTAGCCCAAATGCCGCTATTTCTCTGCATTCCCCTATAAGTCAGGGCAATTCTCACAATAATGTTAATACTTTCTCAATGTGTTTGATGCATACATTAGCTAATATTTATGAAGTTTTGTATCATTAATAACAATATTTGAAAAATATGTAGACTTTCCAAAGGACCTAAATATTTTTAGTACGCATTAATTGAATAGTAACTAAATAGAATTATGAATGTATAATAAATATAGTAAATGATCTGTCTAATTAAAGTTTAATGAAGTATCAATTATTGACAGTAGTTTTAAAGCGCTACCAATTTTAGAGAAATTTTCATTTGTCTCACTATAGAGAACATGCAATCAAATGGTATGAATGACTGTTACTGTTTCTGTCTCTTCATTGTACTTTGCTATGTCATTGTGCCCCAAATTTGTATCAGAAAAGTTTTGTATTGTGTCAAAAGATCGTAGAGATATTTTTTGAGTTTGGATTCTGAATAGGAATTTTAAAACTGCTTACTGCACTTTAAATATGATTTAAAAATTCCACCCAGGTGCCATGTATAGCAGGACAATGACCTGTTGCCAACAGTGGTTGTCTTCAACTTGCCTTCCACATGCTGAATGCATTAGCTGCTATTTTAGTTAAATACTGTTACAAACAGAGAGATACACAGTGTTCTACCTCATCTCTATTTAAGGGAGGACATGTGGTTCAGTGTATAGGGTGCTAGATTTCAGAGTAACAGCCGTGTTAGTCTGTATTTGCAAAAAGAAAAGGAGTACTTGTGGCACCTTAGAGACTAACCAATTTATTTGAGCATAAGCTTTCGTGAGCTACAGCTCACTTCATCGGATGCATACTGTGGAAAGTATAGAAGACGTTTTATACACGCAAACCATGAAAAAATGGGTGATTATCACTACAAAAGGTTTTCTCCCCCCCACCCCACTCTCCTGCTGGTAATAGCTTATGTAAAGTGATCACTCTCCTTACAATGTGTATGATAATCAAGGTGGGCCATTTCCAGCACAAATCCAGGGTTTAACAAGAGAGTCTGAGGAATGGGGTGGGGTAGGAAAAAACAAGGGGAAATAGGTTACCTTGCATAATGACTTAGCCACTCCCAGTCTCTATTCAAGCCTAAGTTAATTGTATCCAATTTGCAAATGAATTCCAATTCAGCAGTCTCTTGCTGGAGTCTGGATTGGAAGTTTTTCTGTTGTAATATCGCAACTTTCTTGTCTGTAATCGTGTGACCAGAGAGATTGAAGTGTTCTCCGACTGGTTTATGAATGTTATAATTCTTGACATCTGATTTGTGTCCATTTATTCTTTTACGTAGAGACTGTCCAGTTTGACCAATGTACATGGCAGAGGGGCATTGCTGGCACATGATGGCATATATCACATTGGTGGATGTGCAGGTGAACGAGCCTCTGATAGTGTGGCTGATGATATTAGGTCCTGTGATAGTGTCCCCTGAATAGATATGTGGGCACAGTTGGCAACGGGCTTTGTTGCAAGGATAGGTTCCTGGGTTAGTGGTTCTGTTGTGTGGTATGTGGTTGCTGGTGAGTATTTGCTTCAGGTTGCGGGGCTGTCTGTAGGCAAGGACTGGCCTGTCTCCCAAGATTTGTGAGAGTGTTGGGTCATCCTTCAGGATAGGTTGTAGAGCCTTGATAATGCGTTGGAGGGGTTTTAGTTGGGGGCTGAAGGTGACTGCTAGTGGCGTTCTGTTATTTTCTTTGTTAGGTCTGTCCTGTAGTAGGTGACTTCTGGGAACTCTTCTGGCTCTATCAATCTGTTTCTTCACTTCTGCAGGTGGGTATTGTAGTTGTAAGAATGCTTGATAGAGATCTTGTAGGTGTTTGTCTCTGTCTGAGGGGTTGGAGCAAATGCGGTTGTATTGCAGAGCTTGGCTGTAGACGATGGATTGTGTGGTGTGGTCAGGGTGAAAGCTGGAGGCATGTAGGTAGGAATAGCGGTCAGTAGGTTTCCGGTATAGGGTGGTGTTTATGTGACCATCATTTATTAGCACTGTAGTGTCCAGGAAGTTGATCTCTTGTGTGGACTGGACCAGGCTGAGGTTGATGGTGGGATGGAAATTGTTGAAATCATGGTGGAATTCCTCAAGGGCTTCTTTTCCATGGGTCCAGATGATGAAGATGTCATCAATATAGCGCAAGTAGAGCAGGGGCATTAGGGGACGAGAGCTGAGGAAGCGTTGTTCTAAGTCAGCCATAAAAATGTTGGCATACTGTGGGGCCATGCGGGTACCCATAGCAGTGCCGCTGATTTGAAGGTATACATTGTCCCCAAATGTGAAATAGTTATGGGTAAGGACAAAGTCAAAAAGTTCAGCCACCAGGTTAGCCGTGACATTATCGGGGATAGTGTTCTTGACGGCTTGTAGTCCATCTTTGTGTGGAATGTTGGTGTAGAGGGCTTCTACATCCATAGTGGCCAGGATGGTGTTATCAGGAAGATCACTGATGGATTGTAGTTTCCTCAGGAAGTCAGTGGTGTCTCGAAGGTAGATGGGAGTGCTGGTAGCGTAGGGCCTGAGGAGGGAGTCTACATAGCCAGACAATCCTGCTGTCAGGGTGCCAATGCCTGAGATGATGGGGCGCCCAGGATTTCCAGGTTTATGGATCTTGGGTAGTAGATCGAATATCCCAGGTCGGGGTTCCAGGGGTGTGTCTGTGCGGATTTGATCTTGTGCTTTT